GTCTACGTCTTCACCGACCGGCCGCCTCGACCGCCGCCGACTGGTGTTTCCGCCTGCACGGCTGCCCTATTATGCTGCCGTTGTTGGGCGTCTACGTCTTCACCGACCGGCCGCCGCATCCGCCGCTGACTGGTGTCACCGCCTGCATGGCTGGCCTGTTATAACGCCAACTGATGCTATCTTCTTCACGGCTGGCTACATCGCTGTCACTACTAATAGGCATCAGTATCTTCAACACAAGCTGCCTACGTTTGCCATGGCTGCCGACTGGTTTCTTCACTTCCATGGCTGCATGATTCTGCCAGTGTTGATTGGCCTTACCATCTTCATCGCCGGTCGTCTCGTCTGCTGCTGACTAGTGCCCTCGCCTCTACATTTGGTTTATACAGCTACCACTACTGATGGACATCATCGTCTTCCGCCGCCGACTCGTGTTATGCCGCCGCCGACTAGTGCTTTTATCTTCACAACTGCGCGTCTTCACTACCGGTTTGCTTCTGTTGCCGCCGACTCGTGTTCACTTCATCACGGCAACACAACTTTGTCATCATGGTGGAGCGACTTCATCTTTATTATCTTCGGTACCAGCAAACTCTATTGCTGCTACTTCACAAGTTTTGCTACATCACCAACCATGACGTTGTTGTGAATCTCGACATCTCGGCATGCGATGCCGTGTTATTTTACTACAACAAGTGGCTCTCCAACATTCATGATTTCTACTTGGACATCTTCAACACATATCTTCAATCAAGCAATGACTACTCGACGATAAGAAGCTATAATTCTCGACTCTATGTTCAGTTGTTTCCCAACTAAACAAAGAGTCGGGGGCTACACAAATACATGGCTCAAAATTCGACAAGCTTTATGTCAAAGATGGAGCAATCAATTAATCAGCCAACGAGTCAACTCCAGGAGTCATTATCTTCATCTTTGCTTCGGAGCAGACAATCTACTTCAACAACATCAAATATTTCGGTTTAGACGAGTTGGACAACAGCATCAACTCTCCTCCAAGTGAAGCATCTACAACAGCTATAACATTAATTTGATGGATTATTGTCACTGACATCATCACCAGCACCTTTGCTTCATCGGCCCTGACATCTCTGCTGTTGCTAATGGATGATTATGTCTTCACCGACTTATTATTTCACCTTCACGGTTGACCTACTATGCAAATGCTGATGAGCGTCTTTGTCATTAGCATTGGTTGCTACACTGCTATTGACTGGATCATCGACATCGTCATCTTCATCATGTCGGTTGCGTTTGTCATCGTCAACTATTTTCTTCATCTTCATGATTGGTGGATTTCGTCATCGCATTTGATCTGCCTCGTCTGTCACCGACTGATTATTTCGCTGCCATGGCTACACAACTTTATCGCTGGGCGCCTTCATCTTCATTGTTAGTTGATCTGTTTGCCGCCGACTGGTTTCTTCGCCTCCATGGCTATGCGACTTCAGTACTTTTGATTGGTATCACTATCTTCACTACCACCAATATTTTTGCCACCTCTGGTGGGCAATATTATCTCTATATTGGTCGTCTTGTCTCTATGCCAACTGCGTCAGCTACCATCGATGGACAATTGTGACTACAAAGAAGGACAAGCTATATGCTCAGAGGCTTACTAGTTCAAACACAAGTATCATACCTTCAATTTGGACTTGTTCCGGTTACATGCAACATGAATTCATGATCATGGGTCTATTTTCTATGCTCAAAGACTGGACTATTTATTATTCTCCGTAAGGGTTATCAACCGAATACTTGCGCCAGTCGGGATTCAATTTTTATATCTATTTTGGGGTATCCCATAAGGGATAATCACTCAGATCAGAAGCTATTCATATGAGCTACACTTGGTCTATATTACCCGGAAGATTTATTACTCGGGAGCATGTTACATGCGTCATCCTATAAAGGGTGTCGAAGGCATATTTTTTGGCCTAGGCCTAATATGTCTGCAGCCCATATTTTCAGGTGTGGCCTGTCACGTTCTTTTAGGGACTTAGGCACTTTTTGCTTAGGCCAAAGTGCGCGTGATCAAGTGCCCAATACCTTAAAATCCTTTTATACCGCAGTTACTCAACTTTTTAGGAGTTGGTACAATGCATCTTAAAAGGTGTCAAACAGTAAAGCTTTATATAGCTGCCCCGCTGACTTTTTAATATAGTCATGGTGCTGTTTGGGTTTTTAAGCAATTGATTGGATACAATATCGTTGCTTTTTGCCACGTAAGTGTGCATTTTTATTGACCAATATTATGGCTTAGGCTGATTATATATTGTGGTCATTTTTCAGGCGGTTGGTAAATCCTTTATGAGTTTATTTACTCGGATTTTATACCACATATGTCATATATTTCCAGGTGTGGTGGAACCATGTGTCTTCTAGGGACTTAAGCACATCTGTTAAAGCAGTGTGCGCATGGCGTATGCCCAATACTTTGGAAATTTCTTTATTCACAACATACTAGCTTTTTTATAGCTGTTTTGCTATGTGAATTTTCAATAATGTAGCCAACTTTAGGTTACACTCATCATATTTTACAAAGCAGTCGGTATATCACTCGGATCATGTTATTCAGGGATTTACACCGCATATGCTACATATTAATATCAAGTCGCTTGATTAACTATAATTATCGAAGCCACTCGGTTGGTTGGATTATTTATTCCTTGACTATATGCTTGGTTTGTTCACTTAACCGCATAGTCGAGGGCTACACCTATTAGGTGCATCTAGTCGATGCACCTGACTTTATTTTTCAGCCCTCCACAGTCTTCAGATTTGGTAAAAGTACTCGGGAGACCATGGCAAAGATGATTGAAGTACTCGGCTTTGGAGTAATCTGGTTCGAGAGAAGATTATCTTTTCGACTGTGAAGGTCTCAGGGGCTACTGTGGAGATTATGGGTACCCCATACCCACACGGCATGGTTATCCGACTAGTTATAGGGGATAACTTATATGTATGGAATATGTAACAGATCATGACTTGGGTATTACGTTTCCTTATATATTACGGAACAGCCTAAAGTCCTGGTTTGATAATATTGTAAAGTAGATTTAGGAAACCGATACCGTATTGGTTAAGGTTTCTATCTTGTAATCCTGCCCCCCACCCTATATAAGGTGGGCAGGAGGCCCTCTAGGGGGCATGAGACAACCTGATCGTCAGATCAATACACACTCGGCGGATTCAAATCCCCAAACAGGAGTAGGGTATTACCTCTCATTGAGAGGGCCTGAACCTGTCTAAATCCTTTGTCTCCACATCCATCCACTTTTAGGTCTCGTGCGCTACCCCCTTTTATTATTGCCGAATTCATGTTTCGACACTTAATAAAATAAACATAGTTCCCTATAAAAATAGCAACTGACCTACCGTAGTTACTCAGTAGGATAGTTAAGCTAGATGTATAGGCTTCAGTGGAGTACTAGGGCCTTCGCGAAAAAAAAATATTTGGGTGTCATATCGGATGTTTGACCGAATGTCGGAAGGGGTTTTCGGACAAGAATAAAAAAACTAATTTCATAACTCGCCTAGAAACCGCGAGACGAATCTTTTGATCCTAATTAATCCATCATTAGTACATGTGGTTTACTGTAGCACTTATAGCTAATCATGGACTAATTATGCTCAAAAGATTAATCTCGCGATTTATCCCCTAACTGTGCAATTAGTTTTTTTTTTAAATCAATATTTAATGCTCCACGCATGTGTACAAAGATTTGATGTGATGTTTTTGGGAAAAAAAATTTGGAAAATTGTTAGTACGTGTTAGGAAGAAATGATGAGCATCGCAGCTCTAAAAAAAATATGAAACATCTTAAAAAATTCATCACCAATTTTATAATCTAATAGATAACTCAATTATAACATTTCATAAATAAATAACCCTAAATAGTATGGATGGGAAAAGAGAAAAATTAAAAAATTGCCATATAGTACTGTGATATGCTAAGTTAAACTGCACTTGAAAAAAAATAATGAAATGTTTATTTAATTGTTCAGCTTTTGCATGAATTTCAAGAAAATCGAACTAATTCTTATAAAATTCAGTAAAATGTATCCTACATTCTTAAAATGAATGCCCTTTTTTTTGGGAAACAAAATAATGTCAATTTAGACACACTCTCCAATACATAAAGTTTATCATAACTTTCACAAACTATACATATATCAAAGATAATAAAAATACAACTATATAAAAAGAGTTTTCATAAAAAATCTACTAATATGATTTTCAAATTTTAATAATTTAAGATATTGATATTTAACTGTACACATTGCATGATGTTATCCTGTTTAATAGAATGAAAGTAATGCATCTTAATAATATATAAACAATATACACGGGCTATAAAACAAGTGCGCCAACCGGCGCACCGATTTTCTAGTATATATATATGACCTGTTTGGCACAAATCCACCTCCACCTCTACTGAAGCTCAGACAAACAGTTTCAGCTCCACCGAAAATAGAAGTGGAGCTGGGTGGAGCTCTATCATAAAATGGACTAGAGTTATAGAGCTGGATTTAGGCATCTCCACAACTTCACTCCAAACCCAACTCATGAAGCTAAATTTAGGAGTTGGAGCCGTACCAAACAAGCCCATACTTTCCAAAATCAAAAAACCTTCGTTATTACCAATGAAAATTTTATCTTATAGTCAGTTTAATCTATTTAATTATTACCACTAACATAATAGGAAGGTACAGGGGCGGAGACATCTAGTCTCCTAAATTCCTATAAGATTCATTCAAATTTTAGTGAAACTTTTGAAGATATAAGTTATCTAAACAGAGCCCTACCATTGGTTATTTCCTGGCTCCACCTGTGAGAAGACATATATATACTAATATAAAGAGGAGGGGTTCACCCCTAGCAATCCTACCGGTGAAATCATCCCATCCCATCTCATCCGTCCATCCGCCAACTCATCCAATCTCATCCGTCCATCGCTATCGTCCTCGACATAGGAAATCATCACCATCCTCGATTCCTCTCCACCGCGCTTTCCGCCAGCGCGATGACTCTGCGCGCATCCTCCTCCTCGCTCACGCGCCCCCTTGTCTCTCTCGCGTCGTGATTCTCTCCCCTGCCCCTCGCCCGTCGCCGCCGTGTTTCTCGCCCCTACCCATCGCCCATCACCGCCAACCCCAATCCCCAAACCCTACACCGCTGTCGGCACTGCGCATCCCCATCCCCTCGCGCGGCGCGATATCCGCCCAAACCCCCGTTGCCGCCTCCGCTCCGATCCCCATCTCGCGAGTCGCGAGCAGAGCAGGAGAGGAGAGGGGCGCCGTCGTTGCCCACATCGTTGCCTTTGCTCCGATCTCATGAACAGAGCAGACGAGGGGAGGGGCGCCGTCGTCCTGCTGCATCCCAGTGAGCATACACATCCGCTTTCTCATTTATCTCTCTATTTCCCACCCATTTTTGTCTGGAATGTTCTTGTGTTAAACCTAGCTTCTCTTCTAGATCTGGATGATGCTTATGATTCTTGTTCCAGTAATAGCTTATGATTCTTTTTCCAGTAACCTCGGACGACGACATCGACCAACTCAAGTGGCGGCGGTGGCCTCCAAGGGGCCTATGCAGAGATTGAGTGTTGTGTTGTGTTGGGCACAGTCATGGCCACTGCAGCCATCTCTTCCATCCTCGCCGTTAGGACTGATTTCAAGCTATCTCGAACCAAATCATCTCTGGATTAAGATGATCTTTGTAATGTACAAGTCTCTCAATATGTTCAGTGTTAGCTATAACACTAATTGGCTAAAACAATAATTATCCGGACTCTAAACGAAGTGTTGTGTCCATGGCTTGAGGTTGACGTTACAATTTTTTTCCAGACTGAGTTGGGTATTTGGTTTCAACATAGTTCTGATTTAATTGACTCAAGATTTTAGAAATGGTATTGCAAAGTTTTGAATGGTCACAGAACGGTACTTCTATTCTTTGGTAAAAAGCATAACATTGCCTTGCTTTTCAGGCATCTTGGGTGTTAGTAAAGAGTCAAGTGGCTGAAACGGTGGCCATGGCTGTTATTGGTGGCGTTTTAAGGTAAATTTTGGGTATTATGGTCATGGCCTCGCGCTGGCCGATCAGCATACAGAGGTGGGGAAAGAGAGCTATGGCTATGGGCCATGGGCCTATGGCAATGGCAGCGGCGCTGCTTCTCATGTTGTCCCTAGCGAGGCGGTCATCATCTCTTTTGTATCTCCTTGCATATGTGAAGGAGAAGACGGCAATTGGTTAAGATCAGGCCATTCTGCTTGAATACTCAGATGTCATTGCAATCGATTAAGTTCGTTGTCCTGTGTGTTCTCCTTCTAAGATACAGAAGATTTATTCAGGAGAGCAACTGAACTCTGATCTTTTCTTCAAGCATGAATGCTTATCAATTATTGTGATTAAAATGGTTCCATCAACTTAATTGATTCTGAATTGGACTCATGCAAGTATTGTTTTGAGCAAGTTTAATTCTGTTCATATATTTAATGTACACCAAACTTTGTAGCGGTGACTGTTTTCTGTGGATTAATTTGTTATAAATCAAATACCATATATATTAAGATAAGGTCAAGAGGCCGCGACTTCCACTTGATTGATACTCCATAATAGTGCCAAGCAAAATCAGTCTCACTCACATGCACAGATCATTATAAACAAAATTTTGTTAATATGAAATTTTAAAAATTATTTTTAGACAAATAGAATTGTTCAGTAGTAGACAACTGTTTATGACTGATGAAAGGAAATTTGCAATTCACTTATTTAAACCAAAGAGGCAAATACGCCATCAGAATTCGGTCATCTGGTCACCATCAAGATGGCTTGACATTGTCATGCTCTGAATCCAAGCAACTTTTTTTTAGGGTGAGTACAAGTTGAACAGAGATCAAGTTCTACCGAATGTTCGGGTTATAATTATTTATGTAAGATGGCTTGACATTGTCATGCTCTGAATCCAAGCAACATTTTTTTTTCAAGGATGGGTACAAGTTGAATAGAGATCAAGTTCTACGGAATGTTCGGGTTATAATTATTTATGTAATAAACATTTCAATCTTGTAGCTTGGTTTCGTGCTTCTAAACAATATGTTTTGCATTGTGTCGCTGCCTTAATTTGAATAAAAATCATTAGCTGTGTACCTTCCCTTGATACTGCTCGACTGAAATGACAAAAGTTGATCGCGACAAACATTTTCTTTTTTGCTTTTGATTATTTCTGTAATTAACAACCTTTTCAATTCAATAGATGATGAAGAGTAAGAATGTTCATAAAATATGATTATGCACTGGTTCAAACATTTTATTATACATCATAATTTTTAAATGTAATTTACATTTTATACTACCTAAATTTTTTATACGTGCTTTGCACGTGCACGACTCCTAGTACTTGTTTAAGGATGAGAGAATACCTCCCATTATAGAGAATATCAAGCACCTATGATAGTAAATTTACATCCATGCTTGATAAATATTTTCAGCCAAATAGGCAGTGTTCTTTTATCCTAAAGATAAAGATTAAGATGAAGATTAAGTTTTTTACGCAAAACGAGCTGGTATTAATGTATGATTGATTGAGTTTTAATTAGTACAAATTTGAAAAATAGGTTAATACGATATTCTAGAGCAATATTCATATAGAAAGTTTTCGCACGAAACATATTTGTACACCGTTTATTAGTTTGAAAAACGTGCCATGAAAATATTAATCTTCATCCAACACTTATTAAGAACGGGACCTCCAAAAGACAGCACGTGCTTTCAATGGTCGTCGGGCATGTGCATCCACCACATCCCTCCACCACCAGCACCATAGTCATTCTCCTTGACATCATCTCTCTCTCTTTCTCTCACGCCAAGCATGTGGGATGATCGAGGATTGATGGAACAACCACAAGGATGGATAGGGAAAACCGCGTCACTGCGGTGGAATGTTTGGAGAACACAACAATGTAAACATTGATTTCTACCGTGAGAAATCAAAAGATACAGGGAAAAGCATCACAAAGCTACAAGAGATTAATTAAGAGGCACGAGTTGTTTTCATGGGAGCACAGAAAAGTCATAAAACGATGGTCGTCTGGTCAACCATCTCAAAGTATTTATATCACATTATGACTGGAGATTTCTAAGAGAAGTTTCACTACCATAGAATTGTTAATTAATCACTTACGTGTGTGTTGATGTCGAACATATAGTCACAAAAAATGGGACGGAAACGTCGTCCCCGTCTTCAGAACGTAGGGACATTTTTGTCCGTGCCATGTAAAAACATCTCACAAGTGCCATACCACGTTCATTGACCACATCGAATCAGGATTTTCTGACTATAATGTGTGTACTTATTTATTGAAAGAGGAACTTTATGACTATTCTCAATCAAGTCGCAGACGTCAATAGACGTAAGACGTCAATAGGTCTACGTCTATGATGTGGATTTATCGTAAATGTGAAATGTAAGATGCTACTAGAAAAATGATTTTTCACAAAGCCAATTACAAATTTTACGGGCGCTGTTATTTTTAGCTGTGAATATGCATGCGAAGTTATGTACAGAAGGATCTATTTTTTTTCCCGCCTGCAAAAATAGATATTTATTTTCGGGCTTTGTTTTCCACGCGCTTTGTTTTCGGCCCGAGTGAGATAACATCCATCCGTGACGGGCTTTAGCCCGATTGAGATTTTTCCTCACATCAGTGACCTTTGCCCAGTGACGGGGGCCTTACCCGATAGTGATGATGCTTTCAGCCCGTCACAGATAAGCGATCCCGTTCCAGTGTGATCAAATTTCTTGGAAGTTCACAACTCACAGACAATATTCAGCATCTTCGGCCTACAAAGCTCACTGCCACGCTACACCTGACATACCTTTTGACACGTTGATATGGAGAGCATGGGCACCGGGGAAATGCAAACTATATGCTTGGCTTATTATTAAGAATAGGGTATGGACCTCTGACCGCCTTGCGATCAGGGGATGGCAAAATAACGGATAGTGCCCCCTCTACCGAAGAGAGGATGAAATAGCCATGCACCTCATCGCTGAATGCAGATATACCAAAAGGATCTGGAGCCTAGTAGCTTCTTGGGCGGAGTACCAATAACTCGAGCCTCAACACTGGGGGGACACTCATACGGTCCAAGAGTGGTGCAAAATGATAGCAACAATTGTGGGCATTCCTATGAAGGGGTTGCATACCCTTATCCTCTTCATCGTCTGGGAAGTTTGGCAGGAGCACAATCGGTGGATCTTTGAGCATAAGAAGGCCGCTACGTCCTTCCTGATCGCCAAAATAAAAGAAGAAGCATGTGTGTGGGTTCTGGCGGCTGCAAAGCGCATGAGTGAGCTTATACCGCCTCTTGTATATTGTATAGCTTCCCGCTATATTTAATGAAAATGACACTCTCGTGCTGGTTTCCCTTGATCAAAAAATAAAATAAAAAATTGAACTCAATTGAGGGACCACAAACAACACTTCGGCTGTGTTCTTTTCACTAAGTTCCCAACTCATCTCTCGTTTTCCACGCGCTGTGTTTTGCAAAAAATTTCTATAGGAAAGTTGCTTTTAAAAAATCATATTAATCCATTTTTTAAGTTTTTTTTATCTCTAAAACTTAATTAATCATGCATTAATTTATCGCTCTGTTTTGCGTGCGGAGGAGAGGTTCCCAACCCAACACAGCCGAAGGTCTCCTAGTAGTTGACCAGTCGATCGATCGGGTGTAGTTGACCGCGCGGGTCTCCTAGTCAGTCGATCTCCTAGCTCCAGGATAAACGGCTATATATACAGTACTACCACACGAGTGCACGACATAACCAAAGGTATAGTAAATACAACTCGTGAGGCGTCAGACTGTGACGAAACAAAATCGAAAGTAGTACTAGCTACTAGTTATTAGTTCCAGGCCGTCCCCTAGCTATGGCCGGCGGCTGGACGTCGACGGCGAGCACCGGCGGCGGCAGGCAGCTGGTGGTGCCCGTCCTCCTCCTCCTCGTCCTGACGCTGTTGATGGTCATGGCCTCTGCCGCCGGGAGAGGCGCCAATGTCAACATGGTGTGCGTCCCACGGCCATCACCAGAGGGATGCCCGATTCCCCCGTGCGGAAGCCCAGAATATGCACCATGTCCGCCGCCTTAATTACCCACTGAGATGAGATGAGAAAAAAGAGTTATATTAATTTGACACAGTGCCGGCTATGATGTAATTCTGCTCTCACATTTGAAAATAAAAATCTCGTTCATTCGCGTATATACACGGTGTCCGTGGCAGTTATTATATGATTTTGCGATTTCTTTAAAAATTACTAGGCTATGCACCGTATAGCACACAGCCGTTATTTATTATATTATTATTGAAGTCCTTGTTTACCACACCATAAATGGTTCAATGAAAACAATACCTCCGCATACCTGAGAAGATGTACCTTTTCTATAAAAACTAATGTTAAAGGTTGGAATAAGATTGAAAACTCACCTTTATAGGTATTCCTGAATTTTTATTTCATTTTTAACTATAAGTAAATGTGTTAGTCCTCCATGGTGAATTATATACCTCATAACTAACAATATGCAATGTATATACCTCTCTCTCTATATACTTTCCAAAATCAGAAAACCTTCCATATTACCAATGATAATTTTATCTTATAGTCAGTTTAATCTATTTAATTATAATCACTAACATAATAGGAAGGTACGTACAGGGACGGAGACTACCCTAAGCTAGCTAGTCTCCTAAATTCCTATTAGATTCATTGAAATTTTAGTGAAACTTTTGAAGATATAAGTCGGAATTGCTAGCTATCGGGCGTGGGGGGGGGGGAGGAAAAAAATCGGGCGCTCCCCCCCTCCCCACGCGCACGTGCCCCCTTGGGCCCCATCATTTGTCCCTGCCCACCTGTCACATATCTCCACACACCTACTCCAATGCAACAAATCACCCACATATTTTGGAAACCCATTGTTAAGGAAATTCGTTTTATTTTTTTTCCACAAAAAATGTTTCACCTAGAGCACTCACAGTGTTTCACTATATATAGATCTAATATTGCAGTGAATTGAAATATTTTTTTGCAACAAATCAGTCACATACTGTGGAAACCCTCTATTAAGGGAATTCGTTTTATTTTTTGTTCCACCAAAAATGTTTCAGCTAGTATATTTATAATGTTTCACTATGTATAAATCTAATGTTGCAGTAAATTGAAACATTCTTTTACAACAAATCACCCACATATTTTGAAAACCCTCTATTGAGAGAATTCGTTTCATTTTTTGTTCCACAAAAAATGTTTCACCTAGTGTGCTGACAATGTTTCACTATGTATAGATCTAATGTTGCAGTGAACTGAATCATTCTTTCGCTATTTGCTTAAATATTGTTTTTATATAAGGTGAAACAACGCCCGATTTAAACGATTGAAACATTTTCGATCTAC